GTGTTTGGCACAATGGTTTAGATTCCCTTTGTTGTTGTTGTTGTTTTTTTGGTTTTTTTTGTTTGTTTGTTTTTGTTTTTGTTTTTTTTGACAGGCAGAGTGGATAGTGAGAGAAAGAGAGAGACAGAGAGAAAGGTCTTCCTTTGCCGTTGGTTCACCCTCCAATGGCCGCCGCGGCCGGCGCGCTGCGGCCGGCGCACTGCACTGATCCGATGGCAGGAGCCAGGATCCAGGTGCTTTTCCTGGTCTCCCATGGGGTGCAGGGCCCAAGCACCTGGGCCATCCTCCACTGCACTCCCTGGCCACAGCAGAGGGCTGGCCTGGAAGAGGGGCAACCGGGACAGAATCCGGCGCCCCAACCGGGACTGGAACCCGGTGTGCCGGCGCCGCTAGGCGGAGGATTAGCCTAGTGAGCCGCGGCGCCGGCCTAGATTCCCTTTGAAACACCTGCATCCTCCTACTGGAGTGTGTGTGGGTTCAAATTCCAGCTCCATCTTCATTCCGGCTTCCTGCTGATTTGCACTCTGACAGACAGTGGGTGACAGCTCAAGTGCATGGATCCCTGCCACCCTTGTAAGAGACCCAGATTGAGTTCCAGGCTCCTGGCTTCGGCTGGGCCAGCCCTGGCTATTGTAAGCATTTGGGGAGTGAACCAACAGATAAAAGAACTCTGTATCTGTTTCTGCCTTTCCAATAAATAAAATTTTTAGAAAAAAGTAGAGTTCTAAATAGGTAGTATTTTTAAAATTGACTAAAACTCCCAGCCTTTCAACATCAACAAACTGTGACCTACCTGGATATGAAGATCTAGCTTTTAATTCTTTAGTAAGGGGGAGAGGGAGATTTCTCTAAAGTCTACTATATATGGATAGCGAGGTCCTAAGGCTTTTTGTTTTTAAGATTTATTTATTTAATTTTTAAAGAGTTACACAGGGAGAGAAGGAGAAACAGAAAGAGAGAGAGGTCTTTCATCTACTAGTTAACTCTCCAGCTGGCCACAACAGCCGGAGCTGTGCTGATCAGGAGCCAGGAGCTTCCTCCAGGTCTCCCACACAGGTGCAGGGGCCCAAGGACTTGGGCCATCTTCCACTACTTTTCCAGACCATAGCAGAGAGCTGGATCGGAAGTGGAGCAGTGGGGACTTGAACCAGCATCCATATGCTGGCACCACAGGCAGCAGCTTTACCCCACTATGCCACAGCGCTAGCCCCTACGATTGATTTTACAGAGGGTCTGTAAGTTTGTGTAGGCCTTCATTAAAACTGACCCATTAAGGGGCCAGCGCCGTGGCTCACTTGGTTAATCCTCCGCCTGTGGTGCCAGCATCCCATATGGGCGCCGGGTTCTAGTCCTGGTTGATCCTCTTCCAGTCCAGCTCTGTGTTGTGGCCCGGGAGGGCAGTGGAGGCAGTGGAGAACCAAGTGCTTGGGCCCCTGCACCCGCGTGGGAGACCAGGAGGAGGCACCTGGCTCCTGGCTTTGGATCGGCATAGCTCGGACCGTAGCAGCCATTTGGGGAGTAAACAAACGGAAGGAAGATCGATTGATCGATCAATCACTCTCTCTCTCTCTCTCTCTCTAACTCTGTCAAATTAAAAAAAAGAAAGAAAGCTGACCCATTAATTACTCAATTTTCATGTACTGCCTTTGACTGTAGTAGCAGACATCATACTATAAGTGTTCTACCACATTATTTCTTCACAGTATTTGATTTGATTTTCTCTCACCTCCAGAAGATACCTTTTTAGCTTACCATCTTATCCCAAACACGTAGACCTGTGCCTGGCTCATAGTGAGTTTTCAGTTGAATGAATGAGTGCTTGTGTAAGTGATGAGCCTCAGCCCTCGCTATGCATCGCCCATCCACTTTGGTTGGAACAGGGGGACAGGGGGCCTTTGCTCATCCTTTCCCTTATTTCCTCTTGGTTTCCCCACCCTTAGGTACTGGGTTGCAAGGTGCTTATTATCATGACGAACAAATTCCCCCTTGCCATAGTCTAACTTGAGCGTTCATGCTACTTTTTATTTCTAAACAGCAAGAAAAAATGCATAACTCAGCAAAGGATTTTTTTTGTGAAATGTCTGAAATTCAGTTGCTAGCACTGTAAGAATATTTGAATCACATTTAGTTGTAGTTTTAAAGTGATCATTATCTTGGAAATAAAAATGATATAAAACTGGAATGTCCCATAAAAGCATTATGGGTAAAATCTTTTGTCACTATTGTGGAACCAGAGTTTTTAAAATATTCTGAGACAAGCCATTTCACTTTAGGGCAACTCAGAACAGTCACCCTCCACATGCAAGAGGTGAGGTTGTTAATTTCTTCCTGGAGGGGTTGGTGCTTTGGCACAGCAGGTAGCCTTGGCCTGTAGTACCAGCATCCCATTTGGGCACTGGTTCAAGTCCCGGCTGCTCCAGTTCTGATCCAGCTCCTTCCATCGCACCAGTGGATGGAAGACCCTCTCCCCATCCTGTCTACCTCTCTCTGTAACTCTTTCAAATAAAGAAAATAATAAATTTTTTTAAAGATTTTTTTTTTATTTGACAGGTAGAGTTACAGAGAGAGAGACAGAGGAAAAAGGTCTTCCTTCCATCGGTTCACTCCCCAAATGGCTACCATGGCCGGAGCTGCGCCAGTCCAAAGCCAGGAGCCAGGTGCTTCTCCTGGTCTCCCATGGGGTGCAGGGCCCAAGCACCTGGGCCATCCTCCACTGCACTCCCGGGCCACAGCAGAGAGCTGGACTAGAAGAGGGGCAACTGGGACTAGAACCGGCACCCATATGGGATGCCGGTGCCACAGACGGAGGATTAACCTAGTGCACCACGGCACCGGTCCCAATATTTTTTTCCTGGGGCTGGCACTGTGGCTCACTTGGTTAATCCTCCGCCTGCGGCGCCGGCATCCCACATGGGCACCGGTTCTAGTCCCGATTGATCCTCTTCCAGTCCAGCTCTCTGCTGTGGCCCCGGGAAGGCAGTGGAGGATGCACCCGCCGGGAGACCAGGAGGAGGCACCTGGCTCCTGGCTTCGGATCGGCACAGCACTGGCCGTGGCGGCCATTTGGGGAGTGAACCGACGGAAGGAAGACTTTCTCTCTGTCTCTCTCTCACTGTCTGTAACTCTGTCGAATAAATAAAATCCTTAAAAAAATTTTTTTTCCTGGACACACAGGAGAATATCAGATCCAGCATCATTGCTTTTGACCATAAGAGGCTAGCCTCCCACTGTTTAACATTTTGTCATGGGTAGATACGTTAACTAAGTATAAATCTAGGCTATATCCCTAGTTGAAGCTTTAAAAGCACTTATTTTCTCTTCCTCCCATACTTAAGAAGCATTCTTACCTGAGCAGACCTGAAATTCTAGGCATCAGCTTGACCTAATTTCACATCTCCTTGTGGTCTACCTAAAAAATCATCCACTATGATGGCTGACACAAGGCATATCTTATTTCTGGAAAAATGCCATCTGCTTTTTCATGAGCTTGCTTTCCTGAGTACATGTCATCTCTGGTCGCTTTTAGTCTTCCCTCTCCTTTCTTTTCTATTTCTCTCCTCCCTATCAAGAGATAGGCAAGGTCCCTTCCAATCCTTTTTTCCTGGCTTACTCCTTAAGTGTGATCAGAACTGTGGATATAATAGGTATCCTCATACTAACTTCCACCACATTGTTTGAAACCTGGGTGAGCTCAAACCCAAGACTCAGTCTCTTTCCCCTGTCTTAAGTTGCGAGAACAGCCCCTCTAAGAAACATGCTTAATTTGCGAGCAGTTGAGACTTCTGACTACAGGGAAACGTCATGCAGGATCTTGGAAAGAATTTTCAGAGAATTTACCTAGAAATGAGAAAGTCACCAAAAAAATGGAGATAATGAAAGATGTAAGCCCCAAATCAATCAGGAAATGAAAAGGATTTTGGAAGAGAGAAAGTGTGGAAATTCACAAGTGCCAGTTTTGTCATTCTTGCCCTCCAGGATCTAAACCATTAAGAGATAACCCCAAGACCCATATATGAGTGGGAAAGGATTGTATTAGCTTCATTACCGACTAGATAGGGGGCCCTACAGTTCCACTAGAAAAAGAATACCTGGGGCCGGCGCTGCGGCTCACTAGGCTAATCCTCCACCTGCGGCACCAGCACACTGGGTTCTAGTCCCGGTCGGGGCGCCGGATTCTGTCCCAGTTGCCCCTCTTCCAGGCCAGCTCTCTGCTGTGGCCAGGGAGTGCAGTGGAGGATGGCCCCAGTGCTTGGGCCCTGCACCCCATGGGAGACCAGGATAAGTACCTGGCTCCTGGCTTCGGATCAACATGATGCGCCGGCTGCAGCAGCCTTTGGAGGGTGAACCAACGGCAAAAGGAAGACCTTTCTCTCTGTCTCTCTCTCTTACTGTCCACTCTGCCTGTCAAAAAAAAAAAAAAAAAAAAAAGAAAAAATACCTGGGATCTGTGGGCAAAACTGGACTTCTTACTATGGTCCCTCAAATCTAGACCTTGAAAATGTACCTTAGGAGAGAGGTCTTGAGGCACATACTTGGCCAGCCAGAATCATAATGCCCTATCCCATATACCACCAAAGAAGGAGAAAGCCAAAGATCAGTGATCTGTCAGGCCATGTCTTGAAGACCACTCCTGCCCCTTGGCTGGCTGTGCTTGCCTCCTAAACAAAGAGCAGGTATACAGATACTCTTCTGGAAGACAAAGAGAAGTTGAATTTTATCTTGGTTCTGCAGCTTAGTCTAAGCAAATCAAATAAGAAGAACCAAAGGGTCCCCTTTTCCTTTCCATTAGTGTATGCAGCGTGCCTCAGCCATTTAAAAACTTTTAATCCAGTGTAACATGAAATAGCTAGAAGACTTTTTTCCTTGAATAAGTGACATTTTAAACTTTTAATTTCTGTATTCTTTTGACATTAAGCATCTTCTGTAAAAATGAATTGAGCTCAGATATGCACAATTTTATTAGGTTAGGAAAGTGATTCTAGCATTGCTCTGTTTCATAGGTTGTAGGCCATAAAGAAGGTCTGGATGTTATGGAGAGAGCTGATCCTTTATTCCTTTTGATCGGACTTCCTACTATTCCTGTCATGCTGATATTAGGCAAGATGATTCGCTGGGAGGACTACGTGCTTAGGCTATGGCGTAAATACTCAAATAAACTACAGATTTTGAACAGTATATTTCCAGGTAAGGCCCTGAATTGTGTTTCTAAAATACATGTCAAATTGATCTTGTGGCAGAACCATAACATGGCTTTAGAAATTTCTAAGGATATTTTTCTTCTTCTTCTAGGGATTGGGTGTCCTGTTCCTCGAATTCCAGCTGAGGCTAATCCTTTAGCAGATCATGTCTCTGCTACCCGAATTTTGTGTGGAGCCCTTGTCTTTCCTACTATTGCTACAATAGTTGGTAAACTGATGTTCAGTAGTGTTAACTCTAATTTGCAAAGGACAATCTTGGTAAGATGGCTTTAATACTACTTATTTTAGGTGAAAGACAAAAGAGAATAAACCATTTGTTTTAAAGGGGAGAGGACTGTATAAGTAGTTGATCTGTGGCTCCTTTGCCTTATAACCCTCACTGTCATCCAGTAGCTTTAGAGGAAATAAAAAGAGGAGGAACCACTGTGCCAGTTCTGACCTTCCAGACTGATGCCATGGGCAGTTTCTCTCCTGGAGTATGCCTGAATCATCACTCATCCCTCTTGCCAACTAGTTTATGACGAAGCATGTCTACTGTAGGGTCAGACTGCTTGCATCAAATCCTAACTCAGAAATCGCCTTGCTGTGAAACCTAAGTCCAACTTCTGGACTTCTCTGTGCCTAGAGAATGGGGATGGTGGGGGTAACTACCTCAGGCTAATTATGAGGATTAAATGAGACCAGTAAGTACTCCGTGTTGTTTGCGGTCGTCATTCCTGCTGCCCCCTCCCCTGTCCTGGCTTCCGCACACAGGGCCCTGGTGTTCCCCTTTGTGTAGCAGAGTGGATAGAGAACTCAGTGAAGGCAGGCCATGCAGGATCCCAAGGAAGCCTTCTTTCTCTGTTACGTATAGTGGTTTCTCTCTCTCTCCCATTCCACCCCTTGATGGAAAAGCAAAACTCTTGCCTTTGCAGTCAGCTGCATTAGTTTGGCATCAGTGCCTATGTCTTTTGTGATTTGAGTAAAATTCTTCATTATGTTTCTCTAAACATACATTCTAATAAGCTAATTTTCCTTTTTCTAGGGTGGAATTGCTTTTGTTGCCATAAAAGGAGCATTTAAGGTTTACTTCAAACAGCAGCAATATTTACGTCAGGCACACCGCAAAATTCTAAATTATCCAGAGCAAGAAGAAGCATAAAACTGTGACTCCTAGTTGTTCTGCAGTCTTCTCATCCTTATGAGTCTGTTGTGTTGTTTTGATTCCATCATTCATGCACTAGTGGAGGCTTGTGATAAGCTGTTGCTCCTCTATTTTTCAGAAATATAATAAAGCACTTAGGGCAGGGAAAATCCTCTCAGTAATTGCAGAATCTAAGGATGTGACTTGTTTGCTTTGCTTTGTATGTGCTGCTTTTATGGCAGTCACCTGAACCATTTTCTGAGCATGGTAAACCTGGGTTTTCTTCAGATTTGCTCCAGACAGAAATGTAAAGATCAAACTGTACAAATATTAAAAAATGCACATGCTGTTTTATTCAAATGCCTCTTTTGTACATGTTCACGTTCAGTGTTTTCTTAGAATCAGCAACTCAGTGAAGGTACTATGAGGATTTTTCTCACTGGCATAATTTGAATACATGCTAAACAGGAGCATATGTTAATATGAGGAAATGTAAATTTAGTTATAAATAACAAGCCAAAAATGTATGTAAACATTCAAATAATTATCTGAACAAGTGGGAGTTTCTTGTGTTTTCTTTAACCCATGTGATGTACTCCAAAATGTGTAGGGTAAAAATTTCCAGGGCTTCCAGATCCCTTTTTCACTATTAAATTTTATTTATGTAACATTGTTATCTCATAGCTCATAATGTAACTTGGACTCATGTAGTCTTGATTACTGTATGTGTGTGGGTGTGAGAGAGAACGAGAGAGAGCAAGCAATCATGTCCTTCCACCTCGGGTAAGGTTTTTAAATCACTATTTCTAGAAATTAGAGCTGCCAGTTTATAGTTTGCGCAGAAGAACGATTTGCAAAAAAGGAATCAATAAAGTTATTTTACTCTCCTCTTTCACTGATTTGGTTCTTCAGACATTTGTTGATCACCTCCTATTTGCCTGGGCACTGTGCACAGTACTGTGGGGCACAGTGGTGAACAAGATAGATCTGGTCCTGCTCTTACATGTAGAGTTACCACATTTTAGCATTGAGTAAAGCAAGGTGAAGCACTGAGCTCTTTGCTTTTAAATCAGTCTGAGGAGATAATTATGCAAATGAGTCTTAGGTAAATACTGAATAAATCAGTTTATTATAAAAAATTATTACTCGTGTGTCTTAGATTTTTAATTGCCTGTATTGATGAGACTAGCACCAGTAAATAATCATTGTTTAATTAGTTTATTCATTTTTTCAAAAGCAGTTACTGAAGCCATTTTCAGTAGAGTGGCCATTTTATGTTCAGTGATCTGAATGGTCTTGCAGGTTTTTTTTTTTTTTTTTTGACAGGCAGAGTGGACAGTGAGAGAGACAGAAAGGTCTTCCTTTGCCGTTGGTTCACCCTCCAATGGCCACGCCGGCCAGCGCGCTGCGGCCGGCGCACCGCGCTGATCCGATGGCAGGAGCCAGGAGCCAGGTGCTTCTCCTGGTCTCCCATGGGGTGCAGGGCCCAAGCACCTGGGCCATCCTCCACTGCACTCCCTGGCCACAGCAGAGAGCTGGCCTGGAAGAGGGGCAACTGGGACAGAATCCGGCGCCCCGACTGGGACTAGAACCTGGTGTGCCGGCGCCGCTAGGCGGAGGATTAGCCTAGTGAGCCGCGGCGCCGGCCCGGTCTTGCAGTTATTTTTAAAAATTAAATTTTTAAGACAATTCCAAAAGGCTATTTATTTTCTCGTTCACAGTATCTAATGCATGACAATAGTAAATGTTTCCCCTTACTAATAAATGGCCGCTTCTCATTAGGAGAGTAGCAAATGTAGATTGAGCTATGTTCAGTTGCAGTAGTTAATTCCAGTAATTAAAGACTGGTACTATTTTATAGAATCAATGTCTTAATTTTAAGTTATAACATAGGATGTTTATGTGAATAGCTGTTGCACATTGGAAGTTTTAATTTGCAGAGGAAGGAAAGGTATGAGTGAAGTGAGCCTTTTTAAAAACACTGCTACAGTTCTGGAGGGGAAATATGAAATATGATCATGTATAAAAATAGGATATCTAGATGTAATTATTAAAATATATTGCCATTTTAGTGTAAAGAGATATAAAGTAGATATTCTCTGTGTAATTTTGTCAGAGAACAGCGTTTAGGCGGACTTTAGTAAAGTTACACAAGCACACAGTTCCCCATTTATACTTTACTGCTCAGATGGGGAGTAGGAGCTTGGTGTATTAGCTTCTGGGCTCATGAGGTCCAAGGGAAGCAACTCACCCTTTGTAGGCAGGAGGGAGGGCTTCTAGCACTGAGGGGAGGGGACTGAAAGTGCCTGGAGAACGCAGTGGCCTCTTAGCCTTGCTGTTAAATGCTTCAGTCTCAAGACCTTGCACATGCCAGGCTTTCCAGGAAGGTGGCCTGCCTACCATGAAGCAACAAAAGAACAAGGGCAGAGCTGAAGCGGGAGTGACTTGGGTTCAGATCCTAACTGGGCTGTAAGTAACTTTATGTATGACCCTGGCCAGGTGGCTTAGCTTTCAGCTACAGGTTTCTTCATCTCTAAAACGCAATAGTACCTACATCTCAGAAGACTAACTCTAGGATTAAATCAAAGGAAAGGAGCATTTTGGGCTCCAAATAGCCCTTAAAGAGCAGTGGTTGTTTCCTAGTTGCTAAATAGTCCGCATTCTTGGAAAAAGAAGTTAAAAGGCACTGGGGGACAAAGAGATGATGGGTATATTTTGTGTTTTCCAGTTTATTTTCATATTATTTTACTATGTTATTTCTAGGAACTGTTTTAAACCTCTTATAAAATTTTAATGACAACTAGAATTCTTTGCGGAAATTAACTTATCTCTATTCAAAGTGGCTGAAACTATTGTTCATCATTACCTGAGTATCAAAGTACTGTGAAGAATATAAAATTAAACTTAGTGACTTAATTAGTCACTGCCTTGCTGTTTCTGCCATAATTTTTTAAATGTCTGTTTTTAATATAGCAGGCTATCAATTCTGGCTGGATTAGGTTAAATAAAGAATTTTTATGTTCTCTAGATGTACTCTGTTGTACCAATCCCAAAATACAATTCTGCACATACGTTTGTTTTTTAAAATCATTTATCAGAGATTTTTATGTAAAGATAATCTGAAATTTTAAAAAGTAGTATAGAAGATTTTGTCTTAACTGTGTAAACAGACTAGCCTATATTCCAAGTGTGTTCCAGAGATCAAAATGTATACCCACCTTCAGAGCCTCTTGGACTGACTGATTAGATAAGGAACTAGACAAGATCTATGAGTGGTTACAAGCCATAAGGTATATTTGAGTTGGAAGCACAAATGATTTCCTCTGAGATACCAAGAACTTCAGTTTCTCAAGTAGATCAGAATTTTTGAGATTGAGGAAAAAATTCCCTTCCATCCATGAGGGTTTTTTTGGTTGCGGGTTCTTTCCCTACCCCCATCTGAGAGAGACACTAGAAGAGAAATGCCATAGCAGAGTTGGCCAGTCCTTGGATTACATATTCTGATACCTGTTGAGCAGGCTACCTCTCAAGCCCTCAGTAAAATGGAGATTACCATGCCTGTCTCTGAAGTTGTTGTGAGGGTTAAATGAGGTGACATTCCAGGACCTAGGCAGAAAATAAGAAAATCTAGTTCAAAGTGCCCATCATCTTTCTTTGATCCCCTTCTTTGATCCCCTAGAATCTCAAGGTTGTGGTTTCTCTGCTACTTGATAACCGACAAGTCCATTAGCATGGCAAGAGTGGGGCTGGCGTTGTGATGTACTGGGTAAAGCCGCTGCCGCCGCCGCTGCTGCTGCTGCCGCCGCTGCCTGCAACACCAAAATCCATTTGGACCCTGGTTCTTATCCTGGTTGCTTCACTTATGGTCCAGCTCCCTGCTGATGGCCTGGGAAAAGCAGAAGATGGCCCAAGTGATTGGGCCCTTGCCACCTATGTGCGAGACCCAGGTGAAGCTCCTGGCTCCTGGCTTCAGCCTGGCCCAGGGCTGGACATTGTGGCCATCTGGGGAGTGAACCAGCAGATGGAAAATCTGTTTCTCCCTCTCTGTAACTCTGACTTTCAAAATAAATAAATCTTTTTTTAAAAAAATGGTAAGAGTGATGAAATGTATTATTTAATTGCCTTCCTAAGCATAAGGAAAGGCGAAGTTTGCAGCTGTTGCTTGTGGGCGGGCAGTGGGCTAGACAATCATTCTGATCAACCCCATGCAGATTTAAACATACTATTAACAACAGCCATGCCAGTTACATATGCCAAACAACATAACATTGGTTGGTGTTTCTGGACCACCTCTACGCATACACCAGTCCCCTGCTGAGTACTGGTAAGATGGTGAAGAAACCAGCCTATGGTCTTAAAAGTGTATAATGAGGGGTTGGTGTTGGGCCCAGTAGTTAAGAAGCCTGTATCCCAAACTGGAATACCGGGTTCAAGTCCCAGTTCCACTCCTGCTTCCTGCTTATACGCTCCCAGGCAGCAGGTGATGACCCAAGAAACTAGATCTCTGTCACCAATGTGGAAGACCTGAGATTGAATCCTTGGTTCCCTGACTTGGCCTAACCTGGCCAGCCCCAGCTGTTGTAGGCATTTGAGGAGTGAACCAGCAGATGGGAACTCACTGTCTCTGGTTCTCACATAAAATTGCTTTTTAACGATTTGCTTATTTGAAAGAGTTACACAGGGCCGGCGCCGCAGCTCACTAGGCTAATCCTCCACCTTGCGGCGCTGGCACACCAGGTTCTAGTCCCAGTCGGGGCGCCGGATTCTGTCCCAGTTGCCCCTCTTCCAGGCCAGCTCTCTGCTGTGGCCAGGGAGTGCAGTGGAGGATGGCCCAGGTGCTTGGGCCCTGCACCCCATGGGAGACCAGGATAAGTACCTGGCTCCTGCCATCCGATCAGTGTGGATCAACAGCAAAGGAAGACCTTTCTCTCTGTCTCTCTCTCACTGTCCACTCTGCCTGTCAAAAAACAAAAACAAAAACAAAAAAAGTTACACAGAGGGAGAGACAAGAGCTCTTTCATCTGCTGGTTCATTCCCCAGATGCCCACAACAGCTAGGGCTGCATCAAGCCAAAGCCAGGAGCTTCATCCCAGTCTGCCACATGGGTGGCAGGGGCACAGCACTTTAGGTCTTTAGCAAGGAACTAGGTCAGAAGTGGAATAGCCAGAACACAAACTGGCACCCACGTGGGATGCCACTGTCACAGGCAGCAGCTTAACCTGCTATACGACAATGGTGGCCCCAAATTTTCTAAGTGCATAAGGGATTTTAGTTTGTTTTGCTTTTATTTTGAGTAGAAGAAAGCTAGAAAGCTTCTGTCTGCTGATTCATTCCCAGATGCCTGCAATGGCCAGGACAGCTGGGCAAAGCAAGGAACTGGGAATTCAATCCAGGTCTCCCATGTAGGTGGCAGGGACCAAGTGGTTCAGACATTGCACTGCCTCCCAGAGTCTGCATTAGCTGGGAGTCAGGAGCAGGGATACAGGCTTTTTTGCCTTTTTTTTTTTTTTAAGGCTTATTTAAATTTAGAGATCTTCCATCCACTGGTTCACTCCCTAAATGGCCACAATGGCTGACACTGGTCCAGACCAAAGCTAAGAGCCTTAACCTCCATCTGGTCTCCCATATGAGTGGTAGGGGCCCAAGTACTTAGGCAGTCTGCTGCTGGATCAGAAGCAGAGCAGCCAAGACTCGAACCAACGTCAAGACGGCTGTGGCATAACCCACCTCCACAACACCAGCTCCAAGATTCTGGCATCTTACCCAACATCTTAACTATGAGGCCAAATGTCCATCCCAGATCTATCACAGTCTGATGATACTGTCACCACAAGATAGTAAGATCCCTAAAAGTGGGGAATTTTTAAATTTTCCATCTATATTTTTTATTTATTT